GGGTCATTAACCCTTTCAGGGTCCGTCCCGTAGATCTACGGCTTTACGTTCAGGGTCCAAACCGTAGATCTACGTCATGAGCTCAGCTCACTCTGATAAACTGTGAGTGGTACATTTGGGCCTAGATATGACAGAATACATCTGTGTGGTATGTGTGCACCACATAAAACAGATCCTGCAGCACACTGTGTATAATGAGAGAAAAAAACTTAAATCATGATTTTTCGATTAAAACAGCGACTTTGCAGTGTTTTTTCGTATGTTTTTTATAGTTGTATTTGCAATTTCTTGGTCTCATTTGATAGAATGGAAGATATATTACAGAAATAGAGATGATTTTGATTGGTTTTAGCACTGGAAATGGCTTGAAACTGAGCTCAAAGTAGCGGAAATGTTAAATTTTTGCCGATATTCAAGAGTAAACAAACGACCTCACACATCTAATACACGTCAGCTGGTGGGTCTAATATACATTCACAAATATGGTGATGATATTTATACAATTATTACAGTATTGCATAACAGTAAATCTTCTATTTTTTGGTGTGAATAAAAATTCATTATGTGAATAAAAAATCAAAATGGAATTATTTGTAAAGCCTCAAAATGTAACTAATGAACAGAGGAAATGTTAGTTTAGTTCCAGGAATACCTACATTGTTATATTCTGGAGCCTATTTTGAAATTGGAATATTTTGAACTTTGTGTTAAATTGGCCAAATTAACAATTTCCGATCACTTTATTTTGTAGTTGAAACAGTTGACTTGGCGATTTCTTGTGCTCAATCGATAGAATAGAAGTAATACTAGTGAAATAGCTAAGAATTTGGTTGATTGGAATAATGTAATTGGCCTAAAATGGGAGTCAAAGTCGGCAAAATCGCCGATTCGTAAATATCGCTGACATCAAAATTCGCGAGAGCATAATTTCGTCAATTTTCCACCAAATTTCGTACTTTTTGTTTTATTACCTTCACAAAAAGATTCTCTACGATTTCATAAGAAAAAATAACAATTTTTTTTTTTTAAATTCTTGGACACTGGTGCATGACTTCAGATTTTGGCCTTGGACCCTGAAAGGGTTAAGACTATCTACAATATGAGGGTCACTACCTACAATACGAGTGACATACTACTGTATAGAAAGGCACTTGTTATGCTGAGTATTTCAAGAAAATTAGGTCAGTGTCCCAGGATAACACCCACACTAATTGGCTAACACCCAGGTACCCATTCCCTGATGGGTAAACATAGACAACAGGTGTAAAGAAACATGCCTAATGTTTCTACCCTGGCTGGGAATCAAATATTTACCAAAAATCATATATGGCTAATCCAAGCCAGGTACTGAAAATAAGCCATGTTGACTTTTTTGGGGTTATCCTAGGTTCTCTACACATACGCTGCTGTGTGTGATGATCTATAGAGAGAAAATAACTTTTTTGTTTCATGTTTAGGGTGGAGTATGAGTGTATATCGTAGTTAGCCCTGTGCTATACTCCGTTTTCTCTAATATAAGCCACCAAGACAAGGATAGGAGAATGGTACAGTATTTGTTTACCATATCCTCTTCATAACTCTGTCGAACTGCTCGGTGTTATGCCAAATATTATTCATTCTGGAGTATTTAACATGTTTTATGTTATTTATATTGTTTCTTATGTCATATTAGATCAATTGTGATTAGCGTAATAATAAAGCATATTCTCCTGCTTCATGAGACAGCTCATGGCAACCGACAGTGGCTTCAAAGCCACCTTATCTTTAATGGATAATGTACTGTGTAGGTGCTTTACATAATGGGGCTAGGGCTAAAAGTAAGCAGGTTTAAACAATAAATGGAGAAAAAGAAATTGGAATGACTTATGCAGCAAGTAGCGCCACCAAACAGTACCAGCAGGTTGGTGTGGTGACCCTGGAAATTTGAAATTATGCTAGCCAAAATTAGTGCCGAATAATTGAAGGAACCGAATAACTGATTGTCAGATTTGTGATGGCGGACCTGTATTGGCAAAAAGATGGTCTTGTGAGAGTATAGGCAATGAGGTTGAGGTTTGGAGTAGATTTAAGAATGTAATGCTAGTGTTCAGCAGAAGTTTGTGGTTACAGGAAAGTGGGTGCAGGAGGGAATAAGAACAATTGGTGAAATGATGAGGTAAAGAGAGTAGTAAGGGAGAAAAAGTTACCATATGAGGGGTTTTTACAAAGTAGAAGGAGGGAGGAGTATGTGGAGAGAAAAAGAGGTTAAGAAAGTGGTGAAGGAATGTAAAAGGAGAGCAGATGAGACAGTGGGTGAGATCCTATCAATAAATTTTGTTGAGAATAAAAAAAAGTTTTGGAGTGAGATTAATAAGCTGAGAAAACCTAGGGAATGAATCATACCACGGGTGGGGTTTGAACCTGCGGTCAGAGAGTTTCAAGACTAGGGAATGAATGGATTTGACATTTAAAAATAGGAGAGGAGAGTTATTAACCCTTTCAGAGTTTTGGTCGTATTAGTATGGCTTTCGCCCCAGGGTTTTTGACGTATTAGTGCGCCTAAATTCTAGCGCTCTCAAATCTAGTGAGAGAAAGCTGGTAGGCCTACATATGAAGGAATGGGTCTATGTGGTCAGTGTGCGTAGTATAAAAAAAATCCTTCAGCACACAGTGCATAACGAGAAAAAAAAAATTTGGACCGTGTTTTTGGATTAAAACAGCGACTTTCCACTGTATTTTCGTATGGTGTTTATTGTTGTATTCTAGTTTTCCTGGTCTCATTTTATAGAATGGAAGACATATTACAGAAAATGAGATGATTTTGACTGGTTTTAGAATGAAAAGTACCTTGAAATTGAGCTCAAAGTTGCAGAAATGTTCGATTTTTACCAAAGTTCAAAAGTAAACAAATCATGCCAAGTGTCCAATACACGTCAACTGGTGAGTCTAATATTCTTTCACAAGTGCGCTGATATTATTTATACCATTTCTACACTAATGCAGTAGTCTGCATAACAGTAAATCTTCTATTTTTTGTAAGAATAAAAATTCAAAGTGGAAAGGCAAAGAAATATAAGAGGGGCCTGGGGATGTGACTAACGAACAGAGAACTTGTTATTTTAGTGCCAGGAATGTCTTTCTTGTTTATTCCGGACCCTATTCGGAAATTGGCATCTTTTGAAATTTGTGTGAAATTGACAAAATTGCTAAATTCTGACCACTTTACTGAAATCGATAAATGGGTGGTTTCTTGTACTCATTCGATAGAAAAAATGGAGTTCTTGCAAAATAGTTACGATTTTTGTCGACTAGTACACTGGAATTGGCCGAAAATAGGGCTCAAAGTGGGCAAAATCGCCGATGCATAAACATCCTCGAGACTGCTAACTTCGCGAGAGCATAATTCCGTAAGTTTTCCATCAAATTTCATACTTTTGGTGTCATTATGATCGGGAAAAGATTGTCTATCTTTTCATAAGAAAAAATATATTTTTTTTTTTAAATTTGGGGACCCTGAGAACAAGTCTCGGAGAGGGCCTGGGGACCCTGAAAGGGTTAAATGGAGAGTTTTAGAGGATTTTGGAAGATGGGAATATTTTGAGGAACTGTTAAATGTTAATGAAGATAGGGAAGCTGTGATTTTATGTGTTGGGCATGGAGGTATGTAGGTGAGAGGGAAATTTCTTTCCAGTAAAAGTAGGCCTTAGACAGGAATGCATGATGTTACCATGGTTGTGTTTAACATACATATATATCGGGTTGTAAAAAAAGTGAATGGAAGGGTGATGGGGAGAGGTGTTGGATTAAAGGATAAAGAAAGTAATATAAAGTGGTAGTTGTCACAGTTCCATTTTGCTGATGACACTTTGCTTTTGGGAGATTATGAAGAAAAGTTGAAAAACTTGGTAGACACATATGGGAGATGTTAAAGAAGGAAATTAAAAATGAACAATGAAAAGAGCAAGGTCAAAAGAGCAAAAAAAAAAAAAATTAGGTAATGAAAGATTGGATTTCAGAAAGGAAGGTGTGATGGAAGTAAATGTGTTCAGGTATCTGGGAGTAGATTTTTTTGGTGGACAGGTTTGTGAAAGATAAGGTGAACCATATAATTGATGAGGGAAAGATGGTGGGTGGTGCACTGAGGAATCTGTGGAGATAAAGAATGTTATTCATGCATGAAGGCAAAGAAGGAAATGTATCAGAATATAGTGGTATCAACACTTTTGTGGATGTGAAACATGGATTTTAAATGTTACAGCGAGAAGGAGGCTGGAGTCAGTTTAGATGTCATTAGAACATAAGAAAGGAGGAACACTGCAGCAGGCCTGTTGGCCCATACTAGGCCATACTTGGTCATGTCTCTGGGTAATGTGTGGTGTGAATATTATGCAGAGAATTCATAGTTTGGAAGTGTGATGGAGGTGTGGGGTTACTAAAAGTATTAGCCAGAGGGTTGGGGAGGGGTTATTGTGGTAGTTTGGGCATTTACAGAGGTTGGAGCAACATATAATGACTTGGAGGGTATTTAAATTTGTAATGGTGGGAAGGTGGGGTAGAGGGTCCTAGGAAAGGTTGAAGTTTGTAAAAGAGGTTATTTTATGCAAGGAGCTTGTAAATCCAACAGATGTGTGAGCATAATAGATAAGAGTGGAGGCTAGTGATTTTTGTGACTTGAAATGGTGATATAGTGTGAGCAAGGTAACATTTATGAAGTTAATCAGGGAAACCGGTTCACTGGATTTGAGACCTAGAGGTGGAAAGTACAGTGCCAAAACCCTGAAGGAATGAAGGAATGGCAGCTGTATCACAGTTTGGAGGGGCATCGGAGCTGTAATCTTGGTGCACCTTTGGGAAGATGTTGATGAAGTGAGTGATGGTAAAAATGCTGCTTTTTTTTTTTCTTCTTAATAATAAAAGTTACATGAAATATGTATTACATAATGTGAATGTTCTTGAATTTTTTTTTTTAATTTATTATCTGTATTATTTTATATTCCATTTATTATTTTTTTTTTTTGCAGGTCATGGTGGAACCAGATGCTTGCACTCCTCTTGTTTTATCAGTACTGCAGATCTTCATTAGTAGAGCCAGTACTGCAAATCATTCTGGCACTGGAGACATTACACTAGTAGTGTCAGTATTGCAGGTCCGTCTTGCAATTCTATCATAAAGGTCATGTAAGTGGCACAAATATTGAAATATAGTGACAGTACTATTTAACTAGTACCAGAAATAAACAGTCACTGTGCCAGCACCAGTGTCGTGAAGCTCATATATATGTGGCATAAATGCTGTTGCTCCCTCGCTTTTAACAACCTGTGTTGAAACTCGTCTTATTGTTCAGATTTTTTTATGTACAACATTAACAGATTGTATTAAGAACATTTTCGTAAAAATTATTACACTCTGTAGCAACATCAGTGTGAAGTGTTTAACTTTATCTCTAAAGAGGAAATACTAAATTTACCAAAAATTTTAATTTTTAATAATTGTTCAGCTTGCAAGACTGTTGCCAATGTTATTTATGTAACTAGTATTATGGTGAAAGTACTATTTGTGTGACCATTGTGCACTAGTAATAATATATGACTGGTCTTATAGTGAAAGAACTGTTTGTGTGACCATTGTGCAGCAGTAATAAATGTTTACTTGGTATTAAATGGGAAGAACTGTTAATGTGACTATTGCATAGTAGTAATATGTACCTGGTACTATATTGATGGAACCATTAATATGACAGATACTCAGTAGTGACAAATATATACCTAGTATTATGGTGAAAGCACTATTTGTGTGACCATTGTGCAATAGTAATAAATGTATGGTGAAGATGCAGGAAAACATTGCAACAATAATGTGAGTGTTTAGGAAGAACCTAAACTGCAGCAGAGAAAATAATTCAGTGTTTGTGACCTGAAGATTATGAATTGAGTTTTGTAACATGAAAGAGAATTTATGCAAAATAAAGAAAATAGATGTGCATTATTTAGAATCTCTTGAGAACTTTTGCAACAAATATATACAGTGGACCCCTGGTTAATGATATTTTTTCATTCCAGAAGTATGTTCAGGTGCCAGTACTGACTGAATTTGTTCCCATAAGGAATATTGTGAAGTAGATTAGTCCATTTCATGCCCCCAAACATACACGTACAAACGCACTTACATAAATACACTTACATAATTGGTTGCATTGGGAGGTGATCGTTAAGCGGGGGTCCACTGTATATGCACAGTATTTGAGAATCCTTAAAAATAGGTGTTTTACTTTCAGTGAATTGCTCTTGATCCAAGGAATTAAAGCTGTTATCTAATCCCTTCAATGACTCTTGTTTCCCAGTCACTCTGTGACCCTTACAGGCTTAGTGCTTTCTCATGTCCATAATACACTTAAAGAAATATTGGTTTTCTTCGTAATTTCAAATTCACGTAAATTTCTTCTTATTAAACACTTAATAATTATTAATTCAGTGTTTACTATGTCTGAAATACTCAAGGTATATGCTCAAGCAACACAAATTGTAGTTCACCCACAAGACAAACTATATCAACATGCAGAGTCTCTAAAACACTCCTCACAAAATTCTCGATGTGTATCTCGAAAGAAAATTCATAAAAGCAAAGAAAAACATCAGTGTTCAGTTTGTCTAAAAGAGTTTTCTAAAAAATATATTCTAAAAAATCACATGAGAAGTCATACTGGAGAGAAACCATATCAGTGTTTACAATGTCAAAAAAACTTTGCCTACCAACGTGGTTTAAGAAGACATATGAGGATTCATACTGGAGAGAAACCATATCAGTGTTCCGAGTGCCTAAAAGACTTTTCCCAAAAGTCTGCTTTAGTAGAACACATGAGAATTCATACTGGAGAGAAACCATATCAGTGTTCAGAGTGTCAAAAGGATTTTTCCCGCAAAAGTAGTTTAATACAACACATGAAAAGTCACACTGAAGAGAAGCCATATAAATGTTCAGAATGTCTAAGAGATTTTAGTTGCACACATTATTTAATAAGACATATGAAGATTCATACTCAAGAGAAACTTTATCAGTGTCCTGAGTGTCTAAAAGATTTTGCCAAAAAGGATAATTTATTAACACACATGAGAATTCATTCTGGAGAGAAACCGTATCAGTGTTCAGAATGTCTGAAAGACTTTAATTATAAGCCCAATTTAATAAAACATATGAAGATTCATACTGGAGAGAAACCATATAAGTGTTCTCAGTGTCTAAAAGACTTTTCCCAAAAATGTACTTTAGTACAACACATGAAAATTCATACTGGACAAAAACCATACCAGTGTTCAGAGTGTCTAAAAGCATTTTCCCAAAAATCTGTTTTAGTAAAACATATAAAAATTCATACTGGAAAGAAGCCATATCAGTGTTCAGAGTGTCTAAAAACTTTTTCTCTAAAATCTATTTTAGTAAAACATATTAAAATTCATACTGGAGAGAAACCCTATCAGTGTTCAGAGTGTCTAAAAGCCTTTTCCCAAAAAGTTCATTTAGTAAACCATATAAAAATTCATACTAGAGAGGAATCATATTAGCATTCAGTGTCTTAACCCTTTGGGGGTCGGCAGGTCCTCTCAGAGACTTGTTCTTAGGGTCGGCCAAATTTAAAAAAAAAAAATATTTTTTCTTATGAAAAGATAGAGAATCCTTTCCTGATCATAATGACACCAAAAGTATGAAATTTGATGGAAAACTTACGGAAATATGCTCTCACGAAGTTAGCTGCCTCGACGATGTTTACGCATCGGCGATTTTGCCCACTTTGAGCCCTATTTTCGGCCAATTCCATTGTACTAGTTGACAAAAATCATAACTATTTCGCTAGAACTCCATTTTTTTCTATCGAATGAGTACAAGAAACCACCCATTTACCAATTTCAACTATCCAATACAGTGGTCAGAATTGAGCAATTTTGCCAATTTCACACAAATTTCAAAAGATGCCAATTTCCGAATAGAGTCCAGAATAAACAAGAAAGACATTCCTGGCACTAAAGTAACATTTCCTCTGTTCATTAGTCATGTCCCCAGGCCCCTCTTACATTTCTTTTCTTTTCCACTTTCAATTTTTATTCTCACAAAAAAATAGATTTACTGTTATGCAGACTACTGCATTTGTGTAGAAATGGTATAAATAATATCAGCGCACTTGTTTATAATATTAGACTCACCAGTTGGCGTGTATTGGACACTTGGCATGATTTGTTTACTTTTGATCTTTGGTAAAAATCGAACATTTCTGCTACTTTGAGCTCAATTTCAAGGTACTTTTCATTGTAAAATCAGTCAAAATCATCTCGATTTCTGTAATATGTCTTCCATTCTATAAAATGAGACCGGAAAAACTAGAATACAACAATAAATACCATTCGAAAATACAGTGCAAAGTCGCTGTTTTAACCCTTTGGGTGTCGGCAAGTCCTCTCAGAGACTTGTTCTCAGGGTCGGTATTACAACCCAGGATTCCAAATGGCCTGTTGTCCTGGGTGTAAAGGGAGCAAAATAAACACAGCAGAAAAGTTTTGACTTATATTATCCTTCACCAATTTAGAACAGAAGTATGTACACTATATACACTATGTACAGTGATAGGTATTAGTGCACTCCACGGTAAGCAAGGCAGAATAGAAGCCACTAGAGAGCAGACCATGCTTCAACCAGCTCTAGAATGGGAATGACAATTGCAGACAGGAGAGTGGTACCCACATAACCTCTGCAATTGCCAAAACCATCTTCTTATTGGCTGGAACCTGGTTACTGGTTGAATGACAGGGCCCCATCGTCAACCCTCAGTTACCTGGTTCACTGGTTGGGGGAGATAGCCTGTGAATGAGGGTGTGTACATGTGCCGAATAAAGGTTACGTACTCTTTGCATGCCACACCCCCACCCCGAGAAGGCTCAGGATTAGGCTGCCACCTCCCAGTGGTAACCGTGCCACCATGGCACAAAATAATGGGACCGCCTTTCCTCTCAACCGTCCAACTCCTAGATAGAGCTCAGCTTTTCTCGTGACAAAAAGCCAAACCCTAAACTCAGAGCGAGACAGCAGACAGTCGGGCTAACATAGGTCCAAGGTACAGGCGAACGGTAGCCCGTATCCCCTCACTAAAAAAAAACCCACACCAGGGGATAAAAAAAAAGAGCTTGGAAGGGGGTTACCACAAGTAACCTAACACATCCTAACCTAATATATAATTAAATATTGTTAGACTAGATAAAGAGTCTGCCAACATATTGTCTTTGCTGGCAATATATTTAATTCTGAGAGAGTAGGGTTGTAGTCTGAGCGTCCACCTCATGAGCCTTGTGTTGTGGTTCTTCATGGCTTGGAGATATACTAGAGGATTGTGATCAGTGTAGACAGTGATCACCTGCGATGTGTGGCCCACATAAACATCGAAATGCTCCAAAGCCAGTACCAGCGCGAGGGCTTCTTTTTCAATGGTAGAGCAAGCCCTCTGATGCGGCTGGAATTTGGCAGAGAAGAAGGCTACAGGCTGCAACTCCTCATTCCCGTTTTGCAATAGTACTGCCCCAACCCCAGACTCACAAGCATCAACCTGTAATGAGAAAGGTTTGGAGAAGTCTGGAGACAAAAGAATGGGTGCATCCGAAAAAATATCAGGGTATGACTGTAGAAGCGCAGTTAAACTTGTTGCTTGCGTTTCAGATAGTCCCTCCATTAAAGGGCTAGGGTTCTTGAGGAGGACAGAGTTTGGAAGTTTAACATAAACTTCATGAATAGAGTGCAAAGAATCTGAGTCGTCCTCAGAGGTAGAGGGCAGAGTCATTACCGGGACTTTATCTGGTGTATGAGAAGATATTAACTGATTAATGTGGTAGGTTTTAGTTTTTGAGGTCTTATCAAGGGTAGCTACCACATAATTTACATCAGATAATTTACTTACAATTTGCATAGGTCCCGTAAATCTAGCTTTCAAGGTATGGCCAGGTATAGGTTCCTGCACCAACACCTTGTCTCCTGGATGGAAGGAGCAGAATTGTGCACTTCTGTCATACCCCTATTTCATCTTATTTTGAGCTGCCTTTAGGTTAGCCTTGACTAACTGACGTGCCACCTGCAACCTTGAAGACGGGTTGTAGAGTGTTGAGCTAACGTCTTCTCCCATCCATCCCTCTTTGAGCACCTGAAGAGGACCTCGTACAATGTGCCCAAAGATCAGCTCAAACGGACTATACCCGGTAGACTCTTGCACCGTTTCTCGCACAGAACATCAACAAAGGTAGTGATTCATCCCAGTCTGTAGGAAAATGCATACAAAAAGTTATCATGGTTTTTAACGTCTGATGGAATCTTTCCCAGGCACCTTGTAACTGAGGATGATAGGCAGTGGATAAGTTGTGGATTATCCCTAACCTAGTTAATGCTTCCCTAAATGCTTTGGCAGTGAAGTTAGTACCTTGATCACTCTGAATAGTTTTAGGAATGCCAAAACAAGAAATAAATACACAAATAACCTGCACATAAAAGAGAGAAGCTTACGACGATGTTTCGGTCCGACTTGGACCATTGACAAAGTCACACTAACCAGAAGGACGGCTATATATAGGCAGGAAGAGGTGGTGGTAGTAGTAGCAGTAGTACAAGAATGATATATAATACCAACAAGATGAAATTAAGACAAATGCGCAACACCCAGGCATCCCTATCATAGACGTTTCGCCATCCAGCCAGCCACTGGATGGCGAAACATCCACAATAAAGACAGTAGATGCCATACATGTGTCTTAATTTCATCAGAAGTTGTAGTAGTAGTAGAAGAGGTAGTAGTAGTAGAAGAGGTAGTAGTAGTGGTAGTGGTAGAAGTGGGAAATAAGGAGGACGAGCCAGTCAAATACAAAGGAAGGGGAGCACTGCAAGAGAGCTAGGTGCCCACTGAGGGAGAGCAAGCGCACAGAGGTGCGTGAAAGAGGAAGTGGCGAAATAAATGAAGAAGGAACAGAAACACGAGACAGAAGAGAGAAAGACAACCCAGAGGAGAAAAGGAAAGAGGAAAGGGGAAGAGAGAGAAGAGGAAAAAGAAAAAGAAAAAATGAGGAGTCAGGTTAAGTCACGGGTGTTCTGAAGTTTGGAGCATTTTATAATGTAGTGGGAGAGGAAGGCATCTACAGAGATGAAGCCATGGCTAAGGTTCATACAAGGAAAGTTGTGTATTAGAGAGGATTCAACTAGATGGCGACTGTTCAAGTTGGAAGTAGGGAAGACAGTTTTAGCAGAAGACCAGTCAATAGGATGGCTATGATCTCTGATGTGACAGAAAAGAGTATTGTTAGTGTCGGCCAGCCTAACACTATTTTTGTGCTCCCTAAGTCTGTCAGAAAGAGATTGATCAGTTTCTCTGAAGTATTGAAGAGGACAGGAGGAGCGAGAAATAGAGTAGACACCAGGAACATCTGTAGAGGGAGGAGTGGTATGAACGAGATTAGTGCAAAGAGTGTTAGTCTGGCGGAAGGTAAGCTTGATGTCTAAGGGACGGAGAGAATTTTTGAGATTAGAAAGACTGGAAATGTAGGGAAGGCAGAGGATAGAAGAGTTCCCAGGAGTAGAGAGTTTGGGAGAGAAGAAATTGCGTTTAGCACGTGAGAGGGCAGAGTCTGTGAAATGGGAAGGGTAGCTAAGACGGGAAAACGAATTATGAAGAGTGGAAATTTCTGCTGGAAGGAACTGAGGATCACAGATGCGGAGGGCACCGAGAAAGAGGGAGATAAGAACACTTTTCTTGACAGGGGAAGCATGATAGGAAAAGTAGTGAATGTACATGCCACTGTGCATAGGTATTCGGTAAATGGAAAAGGAAAAACCTGTATCTGAGCGGTGGACCCTCTTCAAGGGGGCTCCTTGGTGTGGTGAAGAGGCTCTTGGTCTGAGGAATTAGACCTGTCGGTCTCCTTCCTCAGACCGAACCTAATTACCCCCCAATCCCCCGTTCGCTATTCCATCCTCCCCATCCTCCCCTTTTTCCTTTCCTCCTCCTCCTCCCCACCCCTCCCTTTTGCCCTTCCTTTTTGGCCTTTGGGATTTTTTTTTTCCCACAGGCACGCTAGTTCCTAGGTAGGGAAAAGAGTACCAGGGTCCATCCCATTCCATTGAGGTTCTTGGCAGCGGCGTAGTTTGCCGTGGAATCTGGATTGCCTGGGGATGTCCCGATCCCTCTCCGGTATCCCGGAGGGTGGCTTTGGGTATCTCTCGGGCGACGGGTGTATCTCTGGAAGCCACCTTTCGGATTCCGGGGGTGGTGGCCGAAGGAGGTATGCTTTGTGGCAGATTTCCAGCCACCCTCTCTTTTGTCCACCGAGGTACCTTGGCAGATGTGAGGATGCTATCCCGGATTGCCGGTTTACTGGCATGATGGGTAGGGTATGGCATGGGTTCCATGCTGCATCTGCGCTACTTGGGGTGCTGAGGTCCTCTTGGGTGTGGAGGAAGATTTCTGGCCCTTTCATTCCTCCTAGGAACTATCCGTCCCCGGTCCCCCCTTTTTTTTTATTCTTTTTTTTTTTTTATTTTTTTTTTCTTAAAAACAAAAAGAAAGAAGTAACCTAACCATGGCAGTCCTAGTCCATGAACCTGCTACCCCTGGGCCCCTTCTTGATACCGCACCCCGTTCTGACCCCGCCTCATCTTGGGACCACTCTTCAGACACTCCTCATGCCTCTGTACCTCTTGCCGGTGCTGTTTCCTCACCCGCTTCAGGTACTGAGGCCTCGACTGACTCCTTCGATTTATCTGACCTTCGCTCTCCTCTGACTATGCTTCTGGCCTCTCCCTCTACGGTGCGGCAATTTTCGAATCGCCGGCCCATTCCACGTTGGGCCAACTCTGGTCCCTCACCTAAACGCCAACGACAATTACCTGCTGATGATACCTCTCCACCTTCTCGTTCTTCTCAGAAAAGATCGACACATACTTCACTACCTTTCCACGCTCGGTTTCAGACTGCACAATGGACTAAATTCTTCACTTTACGACCGACTTCCTCTACTGCCTATCTTTCTGACCACAGTATTGGCAAGGCACTCCTACGCCATGTTGGTAAGGATATTTCTTTTCATGCTCTTAAGAGCGGTACGCACATCATCACCATACAGAATACTACTCAGGCTCATGAGCTTTCTCATCTTTCCCATATCGATACTGTTCCTGTCACTATTGAAAAACATCATTCCCTCAATTCTTGTAGTGGTACCGTCATTCTGCCCCATACCATAGTTCAACAAAATTTCCAGACATGTGGCACTGACATTCTTGAACAGCTGGAACTCCAGGATCTCCCAATCCTCAAGGTAGACACTTATGTTCTTCCTGCCTGAGGGCAGAGACGATACCCTAGCAATGTGGCTCGTTTAACATTTGACAGCCGTGAACTCCCATCCTCAGTTTATGTAGCAGGACATCGGTTACAAGTTCGAAAGGTGATCCCTACACCGCAACAGTGTAGAAATTGCTGGCGATTTGGCCATCCAGCGAAATATTGCAGATCTATCACCGAATGCCCGGTCTATGGTGCCGATGACCATTCTAATATATCTTGCAATCGACCTCCCTCTTGCCTTAATTGTCATGAGGCTCACCCTTCGTACTCTCGCCGTTGTCAAGTCTACTTAAATGAGCGGGAAATCCGTTACCTCAAAGAGGCAGAAGGTCTCCCTTATGCCATGGCAATTTCTCATCTCCGCCTCCAAGGGAGACTACCTCGTGTTTCTTATTCCCGTGTTTCAAAACGTACCCCTACTTCTGGGATCCCATCTTCTGCAACCACCTCTGTGGTTACCTCTCCCATAGTCACTCCTGTATCTAATTCTTTTGCTGTCCTAGGCTCAGACGTCCCTACTTCAACGCCTCAGTCTGATCTCGCTTCTTCGTGTTCTCCCTCACAGGCCTCAGTAGCGACAAGATCTCGTATGACACCTCCTCTTAATCGTCCCTCTACTTCTCAAAAGTCAAAAAAAGGTTCGTTAGCACCTCTTATCCATCTTCCACCTCCTCATTTTACCTCCCCTGTCTCTGTACCTGGCTCTTCCCCTCTCACTGGCTCTGTTACAAGTGTAGAGGTTCACCCTCCTCCTCATACTGTACCTTCCTCCCCTGTTCCCTCCCAAGTTTCTTCCTCTTCTGCCACCTCCCAGGTTTCTGCCTCTTCTGTCCCCTTCCACGCTTCTCCAGTTCCCTCCACCCTTTTGCCCCCCCCCCTTCCTTGGTACAATCCATTACAGTTCCAATCTTTACTCATCCTCCCCCTTCCATTTCCAATATTGTCTCCCATATGACGTCTCTGAATTCTGAAACACTTGAAGCAATCTCTGAATATACTGCAGAGACCAAACCATCCTCTGCTCCATCTACGCAACTCCTTTCTTCACAGCGCACCATTCCTTCGCTGCTTGAATGTTTTCCACTGCCTCCGCATGTGGACTTTTCTAACCCCTCTAGTCCATAGGAACCCTTACCTGCGGATTTCAGGTATCTTTATCATTGCCAATAATGGCCTATTTACAGTGGAATATACGCGGCCTCAGGGGTAATCGGGGTGAGCTTCAAATGTTACTCTCCCAGTTTTCCCCTGTTGGTGTTTGCTTACAGGAACCAAAATTACACTCTGCTGTTATCTCTCCCATCTAAGGCTATAATTTATTGTATTCTTCAGATCCTTTTCCTGATGGGACCTTTAATGAAAGTGCCCTTCTTCTACGCACTGATATTCCGTACCATCAGCTATTTGTTCATACTTCGCTGCATTACACAGCAGCCCGTATCCACTTGCATAGGTGGTATACACTCTGTTCTTTATATCTCTCTCCTTCTCGGGCATTATCTATTCCGGATATTGCCTTTCTTGTTTTGTCATTACCGCCACCGATTCTATTACTTGGCAATTTTAATGCGCACCATTTCCTCTGGGGGGGGGTGTCACTGTGATTCCCATGGCATTCAGTTAGAGGCTTTTCTTGCCACCCACCCCCTCCATGTTTTAAATACAGGTACTCACACCCATTTTGATCCTCGGACTCACATTCTCTCTTGCATCGATCTCTCAGTCTGCTCTTCCTCCACCGCATTAGACTTCACTTGGTCTGTTCTCCCGGACTTACATGACAGTGATCATTTCCCAATCATTCTTACTTCCCCTTCATATTCACCACCTCTTCGCATCCCACGCTCTCAATTTGATCAGGCAAATTGGAACCTTTACTCATACCTAACTGTTTTTAGAGAGGTTCCTTCTTCATCCTCCATCGATGAGCTTTTACACCTCTTCTTGTCCTCTGTTTTAACCACAGCTTCTAATTGTATACCCCAAACTTCGGGCAGGCATTCTCAGAAATGCGTGCCTTGGTTGTCTGCTTGTGCTCGTGCAGTACGTTTGAAACGTGCTGCATGGGGCAGGTACCGGTACAATAGAACCACAGAGAGACTTCTTGATTTTAAGCAGAAGCATGCGATCGCTCGCCGTGTCATCCATGACGCTAAATGCACTTGCTGGTGAGATTATGTCTCCACCATCACCTCTGCTTCCTCTATGAGTGCAGTCTGGAAAAAAGTACAAAAACTGAGTGGTAAATATTCTCCTGACCCGGCTCCTGTTCTGCGGGTTGCCGGTGTTGATATACCAAACCCACTAGATGTTGCCAATGAAATTGGCAATCATCTGGTCCGTATTTCTCAGGGACTCCATCTATGCCCCTCATTTCTTTCCTCAAAGTCTGCCAGAGTGTTAGCACCCTTGGACTTTTCTTCTCTCAGAGAAGAACAGTATAATGTGCCTTTTACACTTCAAGAACTGGAGGCAACACTCTCAGCTTGCTGATCATCGGCAGCTGGGCCTGACGACATTCATATTTGTATGCTACAACATTTACATCAGTCAGCCCTTGCAGTCCTATTATGCCTTTACAATCTTATTTGGTCACAAGGAGTTCTTCCACAGCTGTGGAAATCCGCCATTGTTCTCCCTTTCCGCAAACCAGGCACTACGGGACATGAAGCCTCCCACTATCGTCCCATTGCTCTTACCAGTGCAGTTTGCAAAGTGATGGAATGCCTAGTAAATAGATGTTTAGTGTGGTATTTAGAGACACACAACAGTCTTTCCACTCGTCAATATGGCTTTCGTAAGGGACGTTTTACCATAGACCCCTTACTACGCTTGGATACGTATGTTTGTAATGCCTTTGCGAATAACCACTCAGTTATTGCCATATTTTTTGACCTTGAGAAGGCATATGACACAACTTGGAGGTATAATATTTTAGCCGAAGCCCACTCCTTAGGCCTTCGAGGCAATCTACCATCCTTCCTTAAGAACTTTTTAACTGACAGGCATTTCCGTGTTCGGGTTAATAATGTGCTCTCCCCAGACTTTATCCAAGCTAAAGTGTCCCCCAGGGATGTGTTCTGAGCACAACACTTTTTCTCCTTGCTATTAATGATTTGGCCTCTAGTCTTCCATCAAATATTTGGTCATCACTCTATGTTGATGACTTTGCTATTGCCTGTGCAGGTGCTGACTGTCACCTCATTATAGTTTCTCTCCAGCATGCAGTCGACCGTGTTTCCAATTGGGCAACCACACATGGGTTTAAATTTTCCAGCACTAAAGCCCACCAAATTACTTTCACTAGACGCTCTGTCATCTCTGATCATCCTTTGTACCTCTATGGCTCCCATATCCCTGAACGTGATACAGTCAAGTTTCTGGGTCTCCTCTTTGACCGTAGGTTATCCTGGAAATCTCACGTTACCTCTCTGAAGGCAACTTGTCACAGCCGGCTGAACCTTCTTAAAACCCTTGCTCATCTTTCATGGGGAGCTGATCATCGAACCCTTCTTCGCCTACATTCCACCCTTATTTTATCGAAACTTGATTATGGTGACCAGATCTATTCAGCGGCATCTCCTGCTACTCTCTCCAGCCTTAACCACATTCATCACCAAGGATTACATTTATGCCTTGGTGCTTTTCGCTCTTCCCCTGTCGAGAGCCTCTTTGCAGAAGCGAACATTCCATCCTTATCCGATCGCCATGATGCCCATTGCCTTTGCTACTATGTACGCTCTCATGATCTCCGCAATCCTTCCATTTATAGAATGGTCACTGATATTAGTAGACATTATTTGTTTGCCGCCCCTGTTTATCCATCCCTTCTCTCTTCGCCTTCATTCGCTCTTGTCTTCTCTTCAATTACCACCTTTCTATGTACATGTAGCATCTCACTTTTCCCTACCCCCCTGGGAAGTTCCAGCTGTTCGAGTCTGTTCTTTCTCTCTCCCTTGCTTGAAAGCCCAACTGTCTACGGTTGCTTCCCGCTCTCTTTTTCTTGACCACTTTCACTCTCATTCTCATGCCATTGCTGTGTACACAGATGGCTCTAAGTCTTCTGACGGCATAGGATTCACAGCAGTGTTTCCGGACAGCGTCGTACGATGGCATTTACTATCTTTGGCTAGTATTTTTACTGCTGAATTGCATGCCGTCCTTACAGCACTTACCCGTATTGCATCTATTCCTGTGTCATCATAGTGCTTTACAGGCTATACAGAAATTTGATACACCTCACCCCTTAGTCCTCCATATCCAACTTTGGCTACGCCGCATCTTTACCAAGCATAAAGATATTGTTTTTCGTTGGGTCCCTGGTCATGTTGACGTACAGGGCAATGAACAGGCAGAAACTGCTGCGCGGTCAGCAGTACATGACCTACCAGTTTCATATACTGGTATTCCATTTATGGACTATTTTGCTGCAATATCATCCCACCTTCTCACCTGTTGGCAACAACGTTGGTCTACTGTGCTCGGCAACAAACTTCAATCTATTAAACCAAGTATAGGTTACCGGCCGTCTTCTTATCACCAGTGTCGAGGTTGGGAGACTACTCTCTCCTGTCTTCGCATTGGCCATACTCGTCTTACCTGGAGTTTACCTGGAGAGAGTTCCGGGGGTCAATGCCCCCACGGCCCAGCCTGTGACCAGGCCTCCTGGTGGATCAGAGCCTGATCAACCAGGCTGTTGCTGCTGGCTGCATGCATACCAACGTACGAGCCACAGCCCGGCTGGTCAGGAACCGACTTTAGGTGCTTGTCCAGTGCCAGCTTGAAGACTGCCAGGGGTCTGTTGGTAATCCCCCTTATGTATGCTGGGAGGCAGTTGAACAGTCTCGGGCCCCTGACACTTATTGTATGGTCTCTTAACGTGCTAGTGACACCCCTGCTTTTCATTGGGGGGATGTTGCATCGTCTGCCAAGTCTTTTGCTTTCGTAGTGAGTGATTTTCGTGTGCAAGTTCGGTACTAGTCCCTCTAGGATTTTCCAGGTGTATATAATCATGTATCTCCCACCTGCGTTCCAGGGAATACAGTGGACCCCCACATAACGATGGCATCACATAGCGATTATTTCGCATACCGCTTACTTTAATCGCAAAATTTTTGCCGCGCATACCGATTAAAAACCCGCTCACCGATTTTCGTCCGAGACGCGTCCAATGTGCGCCCTCACCCAGCCTCACATGTGCCGCCCATGCTATTGTTTACCAGGCAGCCTCCGCGCTAACATCCAAGCATACACTCGGAATATTTCGTATTATTACAGTGTTTTCGGTGGTGTTTCTGGAAAATAAGTGACCATGGGCCCCAAGAAAGCTTCTAGTGCCAACCCTGTGGTAAAAAGGGTGAGAATTAGTATGGAAATTAAGAAAGATTTTGAAGGGTTTGGGGCTAACCCTGAGAAGCCTATGCCAGTTGTGGAATCCATTGTGCCTACTTCAAAGATTAAGGAAATGTGTGCACAGTGGGTTGAACTGCAAACCTTTATGGATGAAAATCACCCTGACACAGCTGTTGCAAGCCGTGCTGGTGACTATTTCAATGACAATGTTGTGGCCCATTTTAGACAAATCGTAAAGGAACGGGAGGTACAGAGCTCTATGGACAGATTTGTTGTGCGACAGAGGTCCAGTGACTCTCAAGCTGGTCCTAGTGGCATTAAAAGAAGAAGGGAAGTAACCCCGGAAAAGGACTTGCTACCTCAAGTCCTAATGGAAGGGGATTCCCCTTCTAAACAGTAAGAAGATAATGCTCTCCCCTCCTCCCATCCCATCAATCATCACCAGATCTTCAATAAAAGTAAGTGTCATGTAAGTGTGCATGCCTTTTTCAGTTTGTGTGTATTAAAATTAACATTTCATGTGGTAAAAAATTTTTTTTTTCATACTTTTGGGTGTCTTGCACGGATTAATTTTATTTCCATTATTTCTTATGGGAAAAATTCATTCACATAACGATTATTTCGCATAACAATTACCCCTCTTGCACGGATTAAAATCGTTAACCGGGGGTCCACTGTACAGGTTTAGGAACCTCAAGCGCTCCCATGGATATTTCATGGAGAGGCGCCCTGCTCCTCTCTGTGAGAATTGCCAAGCTCCATTATCAGTCAGCCACATTCTGTTGGACTGCCCACTTTATCAACGAGCACGCAGAATTTACCTCCGTCGTCGTCTTCGCTCTGCTGCTCTCTCTTTACCTTCCCTTCTCGCTGATGGACCCACCTTTCATCCAGACTCTCTCATTGACTTTTTGACATCAACTGACTTACTTCACAAACTCTGATACCTTCAGCCCTTTCTACTTCAATCTCTTGCTACCCTCTACCCACGTACTATCCCCTGCCCCGCTGTTTTCTGTAACCTACTGATCATCCCTCCTCCCTTCTGCCATCCAATACCCTCGCTTCCTTCCCTACCCTGCAGTGCTGTATAGCCCTTGTGGCTTAGCGCTTCTTTTTGATAATAATAAATAATAATGAGCAGTGGACATGGACATCAAGGAAAGGAAGCAAGGAATTAAATTCCCATTCAGCTTTAAACTTAATGGAAATGGCAAGATTATTAAGAGCTTCAAGAAAAGGTTGGAAAAGACTGGAGTCATGAGGCCACAGAGCAAAGATGTCATCCACATAGCGGAGCCAGATTGAAGGTTGCATATCGAGGGTAGGAAGAAGAACAGTCTCGAAGTATTCCATGTAAAGATTAGCAAGGACAGGAGAGAGAGGAGAGCCCATAGCGACACCGAAGGTGTTTTTTTTTTTTTTTCCTCCCTCTTCCCCTTTCCTCTTTCATTTTCTCCTCTGGGTTGTCTTTCTCTCTTCTGTCTCGTGTTTCTGTTCCTTCTTCATTTATTTCACCACTTCCTCTTTCACGCACCTCTGTGCGCTTGCTCTCGCTCAGTAGGTACCTAGCTCTCTTGCAGTGCTCCCCTTCCTTTGTATTTGACTGGCTCGTCCTCCTTATTTCCCACTTCTACCACTACCACTACTACTACCTCTTCTACTACTACTACTACTACTACATCTTCTGATGAAATTAAGACACTTGTGCGGCGTCTGGTTGTCTTTGTTGTGGACGTTTCGCCATCCAGTGGCTGGCTGGATGGCGAAACATCTGCAATAGGGATGCCCAGGTGTTGCGCATATGTCTTAATTTCATCTTGTCGGTATTATATACCATTCTTGTACTACTACTACTACTACTACTACTACTACCACTACCACCTCTTCCTGCCTATATATAGCCGTCCTGCTCCACTTCTGGTTAGTGTGACTTTGTCAATGGTCCAAGTCGGACCGAAACATCGCCGTAAGCTTCTCTCTTTTATATGCGGGTTATTTGTGTATCGTTCCAGTCACGGTATTGTGCCTTTTTTGTTATTCAAGAAATAAATCTAATCAAAGCTTTAATAATTGCTTTAGTATTAATACTGAGCATGGGAATTGCTTCAGGTTATCTAGTTACTCTATCCATAATAGTAAATAAATACTGATTTCCCGACTTTGACCTAGGTAGTGGATCTACACAATCTATAATTAAATCTGCAAAAGGTTCTCCATCAGCAGGTATAGGTTGAAGAGGTGCAGGTTTAATGGAATGTCCAGGTTTTCCTACTTACTGACATTCTCGGCAACACCGGATATGATTCTTCACATCCTACTTTAATTTTGGCCAATAAAATTCTTTTGTAATTCTATATAATGTTTTAGTAATTCCTAAGTGACCTCCTAATGAAGTATTATGAGCTATATTCAATATGTGAGGTCTAAACTTTGTTGGAACCACTAACCTGTCAGACAATTGCTGGCCCTCTATCTCCTTACCAGTCTCAGTGCAGATCAAATAATCGTTTTAAAGTTTATACTTGACCAGATGAACCAAAGAGGATTTACCCATGGCTGCCTGAAAAGCGAAATTTAAAGAAGGGTCCTTTCGTTGTTCCTCCCGGAAGGACAGTCCCTCGGGCATGGAAAGAGATATCTGGCAATCCTGCAACCTGGGAATAGGAAGGCTTGATCGCGGTCTGTTCACTTGATTTACGAGGCTCCGGCCGGTG